TGCTCTGTAATTGATGTCATATAATATAGGCATTATTTCAGATTTGCTCCACGATTCTGGCAAGGATTAAAGGGTCCTCTCGGATTGGCCAATTTTTGATACAGATATACTAAAATGCTTTCCAATTGGTCTTTGCTGATCCAGATCATAGGTTTTGATCTCCGAATCAAGTGAAATAATACGTTTCTAAATATAAAAAAGGTGGTTTTTAAATAATTTCTTGATATAATATGGGGATCAGAAGCTCTTCTTACACAAATCGTATATTTTTTCGCTAGTTTCAGGGATATTTTATAAAAAATCAACTATATGCGTTAGATCCATTACTAGGAAGATGCCTTTTCATTCGTCCATTTTGATCCGGATCAAGAATTTTGGACCACTATTAGTGAAATCGGGCCTTAGTAGTGCTAACTTCGTCGACATTTATTAGTTACGATAATCCGGATTATAACAATATCGAACCAATCTTCCCAGGATTAGGGTGTTTCCGAGAGAAAAACCACCTCTTTATTATACCTATAACTACGTCGCTGCACGGTTAATTAAAAATTTTTTGGTGTTACAACGGTCGCAAAGCTATCGTTGGCTAGTTTCCATCGGTTTCCATGGGAACGGCACGCTTGCGGAACGACATCATCCGCTGAAATCGGATCCCGGAACTAACGCTCATCGGTCGTCGGGTTCGCGTTTGAGTAGTGTGTCGAACACCAGGAATTGGTTGCTCTAATGCCAGTTAGAAGTATTTTTTGTTTGCAATATTGATTTTCTATGAACGGATGATTTACTACAATCGGATGTCGATTCGGTCGGATTAATGGGATTTGATAGGATATCCAAATTTCACCAGTTCCATTTACTTATATAATACTGAGTGGCCGATATGTAACTGACTGGTTTGTATCTTGAATATTTGTGAAGTGGAATGAAATACGTCCTTTTTTTCATCTTAATCTTTTATTTAAACTTAGAAATTATGTATGAAAAATAATATCAGACAAATGTCCGCCTCTACAAGCCATCTTGATTACGTTTTCCATCACTTTTTTGTAAGTTTCGGCAGGAATATTTTCAATCGCCTCCGTAAGATTGTTCTTCAGCTGCTCTGCAGTAATTGGTTTGTTAGCATAAACCCAATTCATCAAAAAATCGCCATTGAAAAGTCAGGGGCCGTTAAATCCGGTGACCTTGGTGGCCAGTTGACATCACCAAGTCGAACATCCCGGAAACATTGTTTCCCTTGCTGTGTGTCAAGTTGCTCCGTCCGTCTGGTACCACATATTTTGCAGGTTAAATTGTTGGATTAGAGGAGCCAGAAAGTTTTGCACCATATCACGGTTGCGCTCCCAGTGACAGTAAGAGAATTACCTGCAGTGTCTTCAAACGAGTAGCGTCCAGTGACATCCATTTCAAACACCGCACCAAACTGTAACGAGGATGTAGTGGTCGTTGATGGATGACACAATTGTTTTCTAATGGCCAGTTACGATAATTCTGTTTACATAGATAGTTTATTGTCCTATTGGATCATGTTACATGATATAAGACTTGTCAATATCAATTTGAGGGTCGTATATGCGTTTGAGCAAATATGCCAGAAAAATACTTATAATTATAAAATAAATAAGGACATTACAATTACAAAACATTTTAAAAGGTTAAATAACATTATAGGTACAGGTACAGTGCAAGAATCGTAATGTGTTCAATCTGTAACGGTAAAAATATATACATATACAGCGACTTTTTTTTATCACAAAAAATGTTCGTCTAGCCGGTAAAAATCATTGAAGCTGATACAAAGAAAAGAAAAGCGGTAGGAGAATCTGTTAGAAATACATAATATATAAACACAATAAACATCGAGCAGTGAGGACAAATGGTTAAAAGCTTAAAAAGAAAACATACATACTTTCGTTAAAACTCGAATAAAAAGTGAAATTAAAATACATTTACTCCACGATAATAGATAATTCACTGAACACGAAATGATTAACAGCTTAAAAGAATTTAAAAAACAGATACTTTCATGTGTTAGTAAAACTCATGTAGAGAGTAATAGCATTTTTCAACCAGATATTTCCTGAGATGTTTTTTCAGCGCAAGGATATTAGTGCTTCTCCGCAACTCACTCGGCAGATTATTGTATACCTTAGTGCACGCTAGAGTGGGAGATTTTTGGAATAGGGCAGAGTTATGTGTCGGTATACTCAGATCATGCCCTATTCTAGTGTTGTGTTGACTATTAATGGCGTTGTTACGAACAAATCTATTGCTATGTTCAAATGCGAAGATGGCACACTTGTAGATATAGATGGAAGTTAATGTAAGCAGATTATAGCGCCTAAATATTTCTTTACAAGAGTCCCTCTTATTAATATTAAAAATTAATCGAAGTACTCTTTTCTGCAGGATGAATAATCTGTTAATCATTGTTGCCTGTCCCCATATGATTATATTCGTGAGGTGAGAATAAACTAGCGCGTAGTACATATCTAAGAGTGAGTTTAGATGGATGTTAGGCTTTAATTTCAATATTGCAAAATAAGCACTGTTAATTTTGTTGCAAATGTGATTTATTTGTGGTTGCCAGCTTAACTTACTATCAACATGAGTTCCTAAGAAGACAGTTTGATCTGAAAAGCTATCAATATCCATGCGTGGTTTCTTGTTGAAGAAATGAATTTCAATAGTCTTCTCTTCATCCAAAATGAGGCGGTTAGACTGGCACCACTTGCTCATTTCACTTTTGACTTTCTCAATAGATTCGAGAAGATCCTGCGGTGTCGTGGCACTGACGACGATAGATGTGTCATCCGCATAATTAATCATGAAGCCAGACAATTTCAAGTCATTTATGTATACAATGAAGAGCAGTGGTGCAAGTACTGAGCCTTGTGCCGCACCTATATTCACGGAATATTGAGTTGACGTATGACCATTGACCTTCGTTTTCAATTTTCTATCTGTGTGGAAAGACTGGATCCAGCTGAGAATAAAATCCCTTATACCTAAGCAGTACAATTTTTCCACGATAAATGAAATATCCATTATATCGAATGCTTTCGAAAGGTCAAAAAATTGTCCAGCAACGTATCTGTTTTCGTCTACTTTTCCATATATATGGGAAAAAAGTCAAAGGTTGCCGTTTCTATAGATCGTGAGGGTCTAAACCCATGCTGGGTATCTGATAAGACATTGTAGCGATTGAGAAAACATAATATACGTTTATACAGACATTTTTCAATGACTTTAGAGATCATCGATAAAAGTGAAATTGGTCTGTAGTTTTCAAGGTCTGCACGGTCACCCTTTTTGTATACGGGAATAACAATAGCTAGTTTCAAGCATTTCGGGAATTTACCTTGCTTCACTGCTTTATTAATAAGGACTGATAGGGGGGAAGATATTTCACGTTTTACAAACTTTATCACACGCGTTGAAATTCCATCATTTCCACTGATTCTTTTATTTGGAAGGCTGCTGATTACTTCCACGATCTCTTCAGTGGTGACATCCTCGTAGAATATTGATGATGCTACCCGATTTTGTGATGGACATCTTGATCGGTTGTCACATTTAAAGTGTCCTGCTAACTTGCTCTCTGCTATTGTGGAAAAATACTTGCCAAATTTGTCGGGTACGAGGGTGTCAGTAAATTCTTTGTCTTCATTTTTCAGCACTATTTGATGATGTTTCTTTACTCTTCCGGTTTCTTCATTGACTATTTCCCATATTTTTTTAGCTTTGTTGTTGCTGGATTTTATTAGACTACTGTAATACTCTTTTTTTGTTGAAGAAATTAATTTCTTGTGTTCTTTCTTGTTGTCAATGTACTGCTGTCTCATACTTACATTGGGTGATATGCAATAAAGGCGAGTGGCTACTTTTGACTCGCATTTTTAAAGTAGCCACTCCATTTGATATGCATAAAAATGTAAGTAGAAGCTCACACTCATAAGTTTCTACTCTTTCCGTGAGGCTGTACTCGCTCCTTGAGTGCCGACTTCAATTTTTATATGCATTTTTATGCTCACTTTTGTGAGCGTCCACTCTGACCGCTGAGTGCATACTTAAAGAAATGCGAGATACCTTAGTAGTAGACTCAGCTTTATAAGAAGTGAACGAAATGGCCGAATTTATGCCTACTTATCAGCCTACGAAGGTGTTTAAAGATCGTAGGCAAGTAGACTATCGGGCCTTATATCGGTTTAGTAAAGTTAATGTTGAGTGGATAAGTAACCATTTTCTTGGAGAGACAGAAGAATATAGGGGCGGTGCTTTGAGCAATATAGAAAGGATGAGGGTTTTTTTACGATATGTGGGTGATCCAGGATTTCAAATTGGCATAGGAGAAGCTATTGGTGTCCATCAATCTACGGCATCCCGTACCGTTTCCAACGTTATAACACGCATTGTGCGGAAGTCGAGCATTTGGATTAGATTCCCAACCACATGTGAAGATCTACACAATGCTAAAAATGAGTGGCAAGAAAAGTTCAATTTTCCTTCAGCTATTGGTGCTATAGACTGCACCCATATACCTATTCTGAACCCGTTTATTCATGCAAACGAATATGTGAACAGAAAGAACTTTGCTAGTATAAATGTACAAGCAACGTGCAATCAAACGAAGAGTTCACAAGTGTGGATGTTTCTTGGCCAGGATCTGTACACGACTCTCGGATATGGAAGAATTCTGATATATGAAATGGAATAGGGCTAGTGCTGTTTTGTTGGGAGACTCTGGGTATGTTATAGCTCTTTGGCTCATGACTCCTTTTAGGATTGCAGAAACAGCAAAACAAAGATCATACAATCGGCTGTTTACGAGAGAGCGAGTTATAATAGAGATATGTTTCAGGCAACTAAAACAGCGATTTCCCATTCCACATAACAAAATACGCGTCGATACAGAAAAAGTGCCCTCCCTTGTCATGAGTTGTTTTATCTTGCATAATGTGGCTAATCACCTTAATGATGAAGATTTTGCTGTTGATATGCCGGGAGATGGCGAACAAGAAGAAATCCATAATCAACATGGTGCTGACTATGCAGATGGAGTGATACGTCAGAGAGGTCAATTTAGAAGAGATGCAATATCAAGAATTATTTATGGCTGTCGGGTCTAAGTAAGTATCTAGCATGATCCAAATTTACAAATTATGTAGATATACGTTGAAGAACGATGTTTAATTACTCATAACAAAATTAATAACACTTTCAAAATGGCAACTTAAGAGAAAGTTCTTAAAATTAATAAAAAATTACATTTATGAAACATGAAGTACTTTTGTCAGTTCTGTCCTGGAAATAGGCTCATGAAAATTGGATTGCCAGTTTCTGCACTTTCATTTAAAGTTGATAAATTTGGATCAGATTCATTAATATTTTTCTTGTGAAGTAGCAGTTCCTTAGCTAGCCGAAACACTTGTATTTGTTCAAGTAAAACGAGACGTTGGAGCTTTGTTATTGATAAATCTCGTGCTTCATCAGTTTCCACTAATCCGTTTTCCTTTTTTTTAGAAGGCTCCTTACTGGGTCCGGCTTTCATTGTGGTAGCTTTCAGTACTGGTCCTGAACTTCCAGATGCTTCTTCGGTGATTGTTTCTTCTTCAGCACAGGCTGTCGGAGTGTAATCAATGCTTTTTTGTGGGCAACCTGCCACAACAGCACCCACAATTTAAAATATATGCTATTTATATTTATTGAGATGTATATATATTATACTCAATCACATCTTATACCTACTGTATGGAAAACAAAAAAATACAACTAACATTGCAATCGAGCAATACTAGGATTTGGTTCTCCTTGTAGAAAATTGAACAGTTCTTGTTCCCATCCTTTCAATTTTATTGGTTTGTTTCCGGTTTGATATCTGTCTGTCTTCGCTTTTAATGGTTTGATATCTGTCTGTCTTCGCTTTTAATCTGGTTTTTATGTTTTGAATCTTCTTACAAATCTGCCCTTCGTTATAATTAACTCCTAATTCGGCTTCTACCTTTTCTTTTATTTCTTCAGCCGCCTTACGTCGTTTATTTTTGATTTCCGGGATGTTAGATTTTTCCAACAAAACAGGATACTGTTCAATTATATTAACAAATACTGTTTGATTTTCAGATGAATGGTCTTCAGAATAGGTATAACCGACCTAAACACCACCGACACAAACGTTTACCGGTATACAGTAGTAACTTCTCGCAATAGAGAAATTGCCAATTCGACGAGACAACAAAATACAAGTCGGAACTCGAAAACCAGAGTGTGTACTCAAGTATTTCATTAGCACTTGAGTAGCCTCTCCGTTTCTCGACAAATATTTTATGCATATCAAAACCGAGTATGCTCTCCCTAACAGGAGTAGTTACTCGCTACAATATGGAGTAGCTACTTCTGAGAACCCACTCGCCTTTATGCATATCACCCATTGTCTTCATGCCTTTTCACCAAATTATGTAGTTTTCTCAGACCTAGGCTGGACTGTTGGATTTTTGGCGTCACCCACGGTTAAGATTTCTGCTTTTTGTGTCGTGTTTTATGCCTCTGGGGACATTTCAAATCAAAATGCCACAAAAAATTGTTGAGAAACCGTTCAAATTCTGCATCAATATCGTCCTCGCCAATATTCCAGTTTTCCTGAGCTAAGCTAACTTTGAGGTGATTTAAATTATCGTCATTTATAGGCCTTGTTATGAGCAAGTGGTTGTCTTGATGTTCGAGGTTGTCGTGGGATGCATGAGAGAGCGAAAGAAGTTGTGCAGTGTGGAATGAAATGTGGGGTTCAAAGATTGTACATGTCAATTGCCTGGGTCTGAAGTTCGTAATGATATAATCTATTGATGTACGTGTCGTTATGTTATTTTTGATCACTGCAGTGCGAGTAGCACTATTACAGTGATTTATCATGTTGTAGGATGATATCAGATCTTGAAGTAGATATGAATTTATGCTGGGTTTCAGGCTATCTATGTTAAGATCCCCACAAATAATATTTTTGCTACTTTCCAAAAATAACCTGTCCAATATATTCCCTAAGTTCTCCAGAAATATCGCTACGTTACCAGATGGTGGGCGATATACACATATTATGCAAAGCTTCTCATTAGATCTTCCGGAATTCATTGTAAGTCCACATGCCTCGATTTCTCCCTCTTCCGACGCCTTGCTCACGAACGGTATGCATTTGGCTGTTAAACTGTTTTTGACATAAATTGCACATCCTCCATGTATGCGTCTCACTCGACAGAAGCACGAGATAAGGGTATAGCCGTCTATATTCGCGGATTCTATAGCGTCCAGTGGTAACCACGTTTCGGTAAGACATAGTACATCTGGCGACGAATCGTTAACAAGTAGCTCCATTTCACCGAATTTATTTAAGAGACTGCAAACATTAAGATGAATTATTTTGAAGTTATTCTCTTCGAGGTATTTCTTTAAAAATTTTCTTGTTTTGATAACTTCTGTTTACTGTGAGAGGCGACAAATTTAGTGGAGTTAGATATATAGTCTGCATTGGGCAAGGTGGTCATTGGACTCCTAGTGTTCAGTGTATTAGCTTCCGGTGAAATAAGTGTTCTCTGTGTGTGGTGTCTTGTTGATGGCCCTTGCTTGACTGTGGCAGAGGTATCTTTCGGTGTGACTTGTGGGGCTGACGATGATCGCACGCGTTGTGGGATCATGTAGTGCTTCATGAAAAATTGGACACATTAGTTTTAAACAACTGATACGGCGCCATCTACCACACGCACTACCAATTGAGTCACTCAGTTATATATTGGCCATCCTGTTTATCAAGAAATGGTTCCATTATCGTTATTCATGTATGTTTGGGAGACTGTGCTTATGCATTGGCTCCCGGATTGGACTTCCAAGGGGAGCCAAGTTGAAACTTTAACATGTTAAATATTCTGAGATATGCGTCATTTTCGATGTTCAAATACCCAGTACGAATAGTTCAAAAAAGTTTATAATCAGATGACCTGAGTTGGAGACCAAGTTCCATAAAACAATTTTAGCTCAAATTCAGTATTCCATCTAAGTATCGGATGCGGGTATCATCAAACTAAAGTACAAAATAATATGTAAATTCCATCTTTGACGACAGTAGCATCACTAATACAAAATTAATGTTCGTTTTGGCGTTAGTGCTCTACATACGATTTGTGAAAAAATTATCTCTGTGACGCTACTTCTACGTCGTCCTATCTAGAAGCATTTGAGAGGGTGTATTTGAGGACCTGCTGTGAGGACAGTGATCTTAAATTATGCGCAACTTAACAATAGTTATTTTAAATTACTTTTATTGCGATTTAATCCATGTAAATATTATTAAGTGAAGTGGAAGTATGTTCTATTCAACAGCCTAATGTCCTTCTCACGCACTGAAACTCTTATATGGATTTTCCATTATGCAGATTGTGGCGATCAACGAAAGTCGTAAATTTTTACTCACAAACCGTCTTCCCAAGATGCTTGTCCATTATTCGTCACAACTGGGAAATAATAATAATAATAATAATATTTATTCGCCAAAATACAAAAAATGGGCAAACAAATATGAAAAAAAACCACAGAAGGCATCGCCCGTGTGTGGATTATATCTTAATAACTAACAATCAATCATATGTGTATAACAATTACTACTGTTAATTCTAAAAAGTATTAATGTAACTGGAATTTTGTAATTTAGTTTTCTATACAGGGTGACTTTGAAGTTGAGTCATTAATTTTCAGATAATGATTGTAGAAGGAAGATAAACCAAAATGTGTGTAAAAATAAAAAAAATTAAAAAAAAATTTTTACCTTGTTTTATAAGGTATCCTCCCGACAATTATTTCAGTGCGGACCTGTATTTGATCGTGAGGTCCCCTGTGAGGTCTTAAGTCACCTGATTCACGAGCCCGTTGTACTACATTAACAAAGGCACGAGGGGTTGGTTGCACTCGATTGGGAAACCGATCCGCATAAACATGTGCCATTTTTTATTTCGTTTGAGCCACGCAACAGACACTATTCATACGCGACTGACACTGACTGTATGTATAACTGAACTGAATGAAATAAAAACATCGTTCCAAATTCTTCGCTTTTTTGTTTCCGATGCGATGAACCGATAAGGTGGATTATATCCGTTGTTGCCAAACACGAGTACATGATATTATTATTGAGACAGGGCGGTACTCAAACTTCCAAAGGGCTATAACTTTGTTACTTTAATTTTACCAGAAAAATGTTAAAGGAAAAAAACATTTCTTTTGATCAGATCTACTCACTGTTAAAATAAATGACTCAACTTCGAAGTCACCCTGTATAATTATGTATAGTCATTCGCTGCTCCGTACAACCCCAGTCTTTCAATTATATACAGGGTGACTTTGAAGTTGAGTCATTAATTTTCAGATAATGATTGTAGAAGGAAGATAAACCAAAATATGTGTGTAAAAATAAAAAAAAATTAAAAAAAATGTTACCTTGTTTTATAAAGTATCCTCCCGACAAGTATTTCAGTGCGGACCTGTATTTGATCGTGTGGTCTTGGAGTACCGGCATGCCCTCCCCTGTGAGGTCTTAAGTCACCTGATTCACGAGCCCTTTGTACTACATTCAGCATTTTCGTAAACATGTGCCGTTTTTTATTTCGTTTGAGCCACGCAACAAACACCACTATTCACTCACGCATTACCGACTGACACATCGACTAAATACAACTGAATAAAATTGTACATTGTAGTAAAAACATCGTTTCAAATTCTTTCGTCTTTTTGTTTCCGATGCGATGAACGGATTATATCCGTTGTTGCCAAACACGAGCACATAATATTATTATTGAGACAGGGCGGTACTCAAACTTCCAAAGGGCTATAACTTTGTTACTTTAATTTTACCAGAAAAATGTTAAAGGAAAAAAACATTTCTTTTGATCAGATCTACTTACTGTTAAAATAAATGACTCAACTTCGACGTCACCCTTATATAATTTAGCTGCTAAGGATTTAAACGATTTTTGGAATAATGTTTTGTGTGGTCTTTGGATATTAGATGAGCCTATTCTAAATCGTGTATTATGCTCGAGTTTATAAGTTTTCTTTCATTACAATACTTATGGTATAAGGTGGAAGCATGTAATAAATAAAGTTGTCTTGTATCAAGTATCTCAGTTTTCTGATGTAAGTTATTCGTCGGATATAATCTTGGCTTATGGAAAATGGCTTTCAAAACTGTTTTTGTGCTATATCCAGGTCAGATATATATGTCTTGCAGGCGGCACTCCAGGCTGTGATGCCGTATATTATATGGGCTTCAACTAAGGCATGGTACAGGATTCGCAGATAACTTTCGGTTAGAATGTTAGCAAGCATTTTGAGTTTATAGGCAACATCAATAATTTTTTTGATGATAATATGGCTATCCCACCTTAATGTGAGTCCATAAATATTCCAAGATATTTCAAAGTGTTCCCTCTATCGATTTTTGTTTTTTGCCCGGAAATTTGTTCGAAGGTAGGTAAAAATTTTGAATAGGTTGTAAATGCAATAATCTTTTTTTTTGAAGTTAACCGTTAAAATTTTAGTATTAAACCAGTTAATGATCCTTATAAAATCCTTTTCAGCTATTTGCTTCAGTGTGCTCCAGTCATCAGCTTTATATAATATGGGAGTATCGTCTGCAAAACATATAATCTTTCCAGTACTGTTAATTTTAAATAAGTCATTTAAGTAGAGACTAAATAATAGTGGCCTAGTACTGTTCCTTGAGACACACCAGTTGATGTACATTTTTTTACTGTGTTAGAGACTTTGACAGTCTGTGCCCGACCTGAAGGGTAATTTTTTAAAAGGATTTGTGACGTTCCCCTAAATCCCATTCTTTCCATAACTTTGAGAAGCTCGACATGGTTAACCGTATCAAAGACATTTTCTAGATCAACAAAGATACCAACAGTAGGTATTTTTTTGTTGACATTAGAGTCATTTTCATTCACTGCAGCCAAAATTGCGTCTTTAGTAGATTTTCCTTTTCTAAATCCATATTGGTCAGAATATATAATTTTGTTTTTGTCCAAAAATTGTAATATCCTTTCTTGTAGTAATTTTTGGAAAATTTTGGCTATATTCGATAGTACTGATATTGGTCTAT